CGCGTATTTAGTGCCCAGTCGCTCCAAATAAGTTTCGAACACCTCAAGTGCGTTCTGCACCTTCTTGAGCGACATGGGCGTACGTTTGTAGTCGAAAAAAATGGGCGCCATGCTGTGGGCGGATATGGGGGCGTAGTAGAATCCCATGTTAAAGCATAGCCGCTGGTTGATTACCGCTCTTATATTGACGTCCTGCGGGTAAAGCGTGGAATCCGGCGCGTACTTGTCGCAGAGGTATTGCATAATGGCAATGCTCTCCGATAGATAGAAACCATCGTCGTCCAGCACGGGGATCTCCTTTTGCGGATTCATCTGCAATGATTTCCAAATTTGTATAGCTTCAAGATCTTTAGGGCTTCATATACACATACCTTCGAGTAATCCTCAGATCGGTGTTCCAAGGCGCAAAAGTCCACATTGATGAGTTGATATTGTATATCCAAGGCCTTCAGGGTCATGCGAACGGCCAGGGAAGGCGGCCCATCAGATACGGCGTAGAGTTTCATCGTGTATATGGGTCTGTGGGTATACAGCGGGCGTTAGTTTTGTATTTGTCTCTTGTTCGACCGGTTTGCTTGTAGCTTAAAAGTGAAAGCAATTTGCCTCTAGCGTCTATTTAATATATATCTATTTTTGGTTTAATTATTGCTGAAGCGGATATATTCAGTGTGTATGCGTAAGTGTGGGTATCCGAAAAATTCTGTCAAAAGTTTTCTGGGCTTTTTAAGAAATATTTAAAATACTGAATAATAAACCAGCAATTTATGTTGTGCGCTGGAGCAGCTTTCAAACCATACTGGTGTGCTGTATCAACGCGCCAGGTATTGCAGGTGTTCGTTTCAATGACAGTTCAAACTAGTTATATGTTTGGCAGGCAGTATGCTGACATAGGTTCCCAAATACTCTACCTAATTTGTCGACCTTTCGAGGTTACGAAATCTTTATAGTGTTGCATTATTGGTAGCAAAAGATGTTTTGACAAAATCTACTGATCTACTAGCATTTGTAAATCGAATATAATGATGTTTATTAAAAAGCCACGGACAGGTACTTAAGTTTGACAAAACTTTAATCTTAGTCGGAAGTCTTCTTGTTTTTCTTTATGTATGATTTATGGGTTTCATTTCTTTGTACAAAATATGGGATTAATATTTTTTTTTAAGAAAGAATGTTACGTTTTTTGGCATAAATGTATATGTTTATGAACCAGAATTGTTTTTTACGGGTGGGTATACATACACAATAGAGCCGTAGCTTTCCATTTCATCAGCTACTTCCTCCACAACCTCAATGATGCCATCTGTGTTGTCCACCTCCATGTACTGATGATCGTTGTCCATGGTCATTTCGACGCCTTCCTCTTGCTCCTGGTACTCTTCCTCCTCAATAACAACATCATCGTCCTCATGTTGGGAATCCACTTTGTTAGACACGGATAAGGATGCAGATCTGCTATTGTTACTGCTCGTAACTCGAGGCTTCTTGTGTACCACGATGTCGCTGCTGATGTTAGACACATTGAGCCGCTCTATTGCCAAATCACCATACTCCTGCTGAATCTGATCCAACGATTTGCCGATAAAGTGCAGCGGCCGAAACTTTAGATTTTTGTTATTCTTTTTGTTGATCTCGTTGTACAGTCTCCGCTTGATGTCGTCCTCGCTGAAAGGATGGCTGTGACTGTTGTAGACTCGGAGCACACGAATAGAGCCATCCTTTTGGGTGGCCGTCGAGATGCGGCTCTTGCAATTGATGTCCGGATCGCGGCTTTTGATGCACACCCAATAGTTACGTGAGATGACGCCACGATTCTTGGCATGGTATATATAGCCATCGACGCACAGAAGTTCGTGCCCCTTGGCAGATCTCAGGGTACAAATCTTTGAGAGGTCCATGTCCGGTTGAGCGCCTTTTGTCGGCTCTGCAACATCGCGTCGCCTACGTATATTTGTGATCTCCGGTTGCCGAACTTTCGGCAAAGGAGTAGATGCATAAGCAGCGTGTGACTGTGAGTCGAGCTCATCTAGTGCGTCCGGCAGTATCTCGATCTTAGCGCTTATATTGTCCGCGCCGTCCTTAAGGTACTGCACTATCATGTTTGCTTTCGATTCTGGTTCCATTTTGATGGCACCATCGATGCTAATCACCTTCTTCATTACGACATTGCTCGTATCAATGTGTTCGTAGCTCTCATCGACGCTGTGCTCCGGTTCGAAGGTATCGCCTCCCTGGCTGGCCGATCCCTCGTCGCTTTCGAAACTGATGTCTTCACCTTGCTCGCTCTTGGACAGCTTGTGAGAATTGTCCTGATCCAGCTTGGCCTGCTGCTTAAGTCGGCGAGCAATTTCATTTATATCTGGAGTGTGAGTGTGCTCCCCATTGATTCGAAGTACCACTGGTCCGTTTTCAACCGGGTCTAGCGTGATGCGGACGTGACAAGTGTTGGCCTTGTCGCGTCGGTTTATGCAAGTGAAGAACATGTGGCCGTTGGACCTGCTTTGCGAGTCGAAGTGGTACAAATGTTGACTCAAGCACAATACCTTACGACCCTTTGCCGAGGGAAGAAATGTGAACTTGGTCAAGTCGGTTTCCGTGAGAGGATTGTGGCCCGGCGGTGGCAAATAGTTGGCAATTACGTCGAATGCCGCTGGCCACTTGGAGCTGTGATCCATTTTCGGGTCCACCAGAGAAGACTCGTCGTCCCCCTCCTGACTCTCGACCTCTTCGTTGCCTTGAATCTCTCCAGCTTGGCTTTCGTCCGTCCTTACGTATATATCGTAGTTATCCTCGCACTCCTCGATTATTATGGATTCCAAGTCATCGCACCGTTGAGTGGTGTCAAAGGTGTTTTCCGGATCAAAGTACTCAAGATTGGGGCACTCTGCCAACACATCCGAGGTATTTTCGTCCTCCACCAACACGATTTGGTGCTTGGAAAACATGTGCATTAGCTTGGCTGCCGAGTAGTGTGGATGAATGTGCGCATCCGTGTCGACGGCGTGCAGTCTATGTGCCCCCGCCAAGGTCGCTTCCGTACAGATCCTGGCCGTGCACTCAATGTCACGCTTGCGCACACAGGTCCATCGGAATATGTCGCCCTTGAAGGACTTCCCGGCCAGGTAGTACAGATGTCCGTCGATGCAAACCATCACGCGGCCATCGCGGCGCCGTAGCATGTACACACGGTCCTTGTCCTGCCAGATAAAAGTACGTGTTAGTCATTTTAGGGGTTTACAATTTTTTTAAAGGACTAGACAATTATTTTATTTTTCTTCACGGGAACCCTGACTAACCCTGTTTAGCACACTGTAATATTGAAATGTTAAAAAAAAATGTGTAAGTTCTAGCGTACTCATACGTTTTAATTCATATTGAATTTACATATTTCCAGCAAGGGGCATGTAATTGAAATGATTGGGTCACTTTTTAAAAAATCCCTAACATTTGGTTCCGGTGGGGATTTATAGTATTTTTTTAATCATTAATGATTAAACTTTGGTATTTATTGTCCTGTTAACAGTCTTGCCGTTGGTTTTGATAATAAAAAAATAAACATAAAATACAAATTGGCGGGAAACAATTCCCCATTACTAAAGTGAGCAGATTAAGGGTAAAGCTATCAAATGAAATGCCGAAAGTAGCAGAGTGAATGGTTACCGAAGTATAAATCAATATTAATATCGAGGCTGTTTCAGAAAAGGAAACGCAGCTAGATTCTGAATAAATAGTTGGATATAATTTCCGAATACAGGGTTTTTCAGGGGCATGAGCCAGGTACAGTTGGCCAGCGGCCGTACCTCAAAGTCCAACTGGAATGAGGCCTCCACGGCGGAGGTGTCGATGCTTCCGTAGATGAACTCCGGCGGATTCATGCCGGCGTTGGCGCGCTCGTACTGGCGTGCTCTCTTCGGCTGGGTGGTGCTGTAGGCGTCGTTCATCATCATCACGGAGAGCCGCTTGCGCTGGGCCACCTTGTTGACCTCGTGATCGCTGCAGCGCGGGTGGATGTGGGCCAGAACGACGTCCACGACGACGTGGCGCGTCTTGTCCAGCGGATTGGGCAGCAAGGTACAGATGCGGGACTTGCAGGGAGTGGACTTGTCTTTGCGCCTGTTGCACAGCCATCTGTAGGTGTTGTTTCGACCGATGCGATCGAAGTGGTACAGATAGTCGTCCACGCAGAGCATATCCACGCCTTTGGCGGAGCGCACCACGGACACCTTGGTCAGGTCCATGCCGTGCTCCTCAACAGGCGTCTCCATTTTTGAATTGCTTCGCTGTTTCGCCCGAGCCCGGAATTCAGCGTTTTTCGATTTGCCCCCGAAAAGTGTTTTGTATCGTAAATTAGGCGATTTTTTTAGTGGCTGGCTGCCTGGGATTTGTTGGTTGGGATTTTTGGTGGTATTTCGTCAGCTCACTATTTGCGCGCCTTTTTGCAAATGCCGACCATTTACCGCACATGCACTGAATTCTTGCACTTTGATGCACTAAATAGGTTTTGTTTTTGGTGTTTTCATTCGATTTTAATTACACAAGCACATTTTCTTTTGCGACGCGTCGAAAAATGCTATTGTGTGGGATACGAGGGTTGCGAGCTATGCGGTGGCGTTGGGGTTGCCACTTGTCAAAATCAGTTACTTTTGCAATGTTCATAATTTGTAATTATTGATGCATATTATTTATTTACAGCTTGGTGAGATTTTTCCCGTTGGATTCCCAGGACGAGGAGAGCGTGGGCGATCTTCTGCTGCAAATTGATAATATTTTGCAGTACGGCGAGGATGCAGACGTGAACGTTAAGGACTTTGATGAGCCGGAGGAAGCGGATCGGGATTGACAAAGAATCCATTTATGTTATTGCTTAACAAAATGTAAAATATTGTATTTCGTTTAAAAAATTATATCTAAGCAAAACACATAATTATCACCAGCCCTGATCACAGAGTTGCCACCCGTTCAGTGTTGGACAACTGCTGCAATTATTTTAAATTCTTCTACGCGTACGGCGTCTAAACAAAACTAAGCAAAACAAAAGAGCGATTAAAAAAAAATGCAGGAGGCTGGCGGAAGTCCTGTTGGAACGCCACTTAGCCAGGAGGCCATCGCGCAGCGCCTGGCAGCGCTTAGTCGATGGCAGGACGAGCAGAAGCGACTCCTGCAAGAGCGGCAATCCAATCAGCGAGTCTTGCTCGGTTTGGAGCAGCGCAATATGTACAAAATGCTGGGACTGTTACACCAGAAGGCGGAAAGCCGGGAAAACAGTGTGCTGGAGGAGTCACAGTGGGATGAGGAGCACTCAATACAAATGCCGCGACTCGCACCGGAGCCGGACGACCAGGAGCAGGTTGACCAGGAGCAGGATATTCCAATGACTGCTTCTCAGCCGACCAAGCCCAAACGCCCTTTTCTGCGTCGCGGCGAAGGCCTAAAGCAGCGGTTCAAGATCAATCCCGACCAGCTGCGCCTGGAAAACCTGCCGCGATACAAGTTCGCTAATGCCCACCCACAGTTTCGCACGCCTCAAATGAAAAAGGGCATTCTCAAGAAGCGTAAGTCACCTCCCGATCCTGCACCTGCATCAGCTCCCAAACTCCCAGACCAACTTGATCTCAACGAGCAGCGCTTTCAGCAAATGCTAATCGCCAAGAACGCCTGCAGCTCCACTCCAGATTTAAAGTCTTCTACCTCGTCCTCCACTACTGCCTCGAGCATCTCGCCCAAAGTTCGTTTTGTAGAGCAGAAGAGCAGAGCCGGACAGACCCCTCATGCCGATGATGAGGCCTCCTCGGAGGCCAGCCCCATGACTGGTGTTTGCTGGGCCAAGGTGTTGGACACACAGAGAATAAAGCCAGCGCAAATTCAAAGACGCTCTGCTCACATCCGAGTGGAAGATGACAGCAATGTAAGCATATTCGAGCTGCTCGAACAGAAGGCCACTGAGGGAAACATTGATATGAACTCAAGCTGCATTCGAACTTTTATGGCTCGCAAAGATCAGCGACGCCTAATAGCCGATGACTCTGATCACATTGTAGTCACACAGCAGGTGCGTCAGATGAGATTGCAGCCTCAGGTGGACCCGGTTTTGGTACAGGAACTGCAGGACGAGGATGAGGAGGACAGCGAAGAGTCAACCGACCAGACCCTCACAATGACACCCATCCAGGTGGGGAAAACCCAAGTGCGAGTGCGCTTCTCCGACTCCAATGATACCAACGAGTACTCCGATGGAACCAGCCTTAACGATGGCTCCAATATTCAGCTTTTTGAACAGTTCAAGTCGGCTCTCTTCCAGGCTTTGGAACAGAAGAAAAAGTCAAGTCCCAGCCAGCAGTCAGAGGAACCCATAACCAAAAATCTTCAGGAGAAAGCCAATCTCGTTCGCACTCGCCTTGAAGAGCTTGAGACAGAAATAGCCGCTTTCAAGGAACAGAATGCCCAACTCCTCCGCCTCAGGCAGCAGCACGAATTGGAGAAGGCAAAGTGCGTACAGGATCATATGGAGGCAATGGAACGCGTCCATGACGAAAAGATCCAAGCCGAAATTTATCTGCACGACGAGCGCATGAAGATCGAGGAGGAACGCCGCAAATTCGAGCAGCAGATGCGACTACAGAAGAGCAATGCAAACAGCAAGGAAAAAAAGGAGATAGCCGCCTTGAAGCAGGAGGTGGAGGCACTGCAGCTTCAACTCAAACAAAAAGAGCAGGCGCACGTCTCGGCACAGGCACGACTCCGCGCTCAACTGCGGGCCAGTGAGAAGGAGCAGCGAAATTACCGTGACGAGATCGAGCTGCTGAGCAAGGAAAACAAACGCCTAGAGCACGAGCTGGTCAAGATTGGCCGTGAAAACAACAGCAAGATGCTGCAGGAAATCAACCGAAACATAGCCCGGCTTGCCCCAAAAGTGGTAAATATATTCTGGTGTTGCTTTTGTGTATATAGTAATGTAAACAATGTTTTCTTTTAGTTGCCTTCCGCCACGATGTCACAAACCCTCGATGAGAACGGTCGACGCACTCAGTCTCTGGATGGCACTGCTGGTAAGCCTGCCAAGCAGCGAGAGCCCAACAACCGTCGTCAGAGTAGCGGCACTGCCCAAGTGAGAAGTCGGAGTCGCTCACTGGGCAGGAATAAGAAGAAGCCAGAGGCTTTGGATGAGAGCTACGCCTCTAGTAGTTCTGGGGAATCGGAGGAAGTTCAAACGCCAGTGACCGCTCCCAAAGCTGATACCCCACCGGCTGCAAACTCCAGCAGTGACTTTAAGAGGGAGATTATGAATGCGGATGGAAGCAAGGACATCTGGTACCCGAACGGCAATCTAAAAAAGATAAGCGCCGATGGCATGAACGTTCGCATGCTTTATTTCAATAAGGATATCAAGGAAACTGACATCAGGGAAGGCACAGTGAAGTATTACTACGCTGAGACCAACACTTGGCACACCTCTTACCTAGATGGATTGGAAATACTCGAGTTTCCCAATGGGCAGACTGAACATCGCCGCCAAGATGGCACTGTCGAGATCCACTTTCCCAACAACAGCATTAAGATTGTGGATCCCAGCGATACAGAGAAACTGGAGGAGTGGCGATATGCGGATGGAACTCACCTAGTGCAGCTTCGGAATGGAGACAAGATTCTCAATCTGCCCAATGGCCAAAAGGAGATTCATACCAAACTAAACAAGCGAAGGGAGTATCCGGACGGCACTGTTAAGCTGGTGTATCCGGATGGCAGCCAAGAGACGCGCTATTCCAACGGTCGCGTTCGATTAAAGGACAAGGATGGGAAGCTCGTAATGGACACAGACTATGCAAAGTATTAGAGTCGGGTCTCTGCTTCCGTTGTTAAGTTAGTTTAGTTATAGTTTTAAAGAAATAGAAAATCTGGGCTGTCTTTATAAGATCAAGTCGATCAATATTTTTGTTTGTAGCTGATAACAGCTCTGTATGAAAATTTGCTCTGTATTAGAGATTTGGTAACTGGGTAATATTTTAAAATATCTTATAGTTTAAGACTTCTTAAGTTATTTTAAAATATTGCATCATATGTTTTTAACATTAATTCACATGCACGACCAAGTTTAACTAGTTTTGTTAATTGATTTTAAACTTTAAATTAACATAATTTCAATAAAAAAAGTATAACTAAATGTCAATTTCTTATAATCAAAATTGTAATATTTATTTTATCATAAATCGTGAAGTCACAATAGGTAGTCTACAAATTTGACATACAATATATGGGATTTAATTCAATTTTTCATTCAAGCTCAGTAACTTAACATAAAACCTTTTTAGAAGTATGAAACTAGCAAATTCAACAACTTAATTTAAAATCTTTTTCTTGGAATCTTTTTCTACTGCTCCGCGTTTACTCCTTCTTGGGCCATGGAGAGGTGATGATCAAAATTCTTGGGATGCTGATTGAGCAGCTTGGAGGCAAATTGTACGATTTGCTCGAATGTGAACTCCGCCTTGGCACGTGGTCCCCAAAGGAAGTATGTCTTGGGATCATCGTAAGCGCTTAGCTGTGAGCGTTCTCGCTTCAGATATTGCTGCTTCACAAAAGTCTCCTCGATCTGCTTGCGCACACTGACGCCAAAGTAGCCATGTTCCTCGTCTGGATGAATGTTGAGCGCTTCTAGCAAACCGTATAGTTTCGAGTCCTCGATGCGGTTGCCGCGCAGGAAGATGTACATGAGAATGATGTACAGCAACGTGAACTGTGGGCGTTGAGCCGAGGTCAGCTCATGGATGGAGGCAACCGGCTCCTCCGCAGTGCAGATGAACGTCTTGGAGGTCGCGTCCAGTGGGGTCAGCAATATGCCGAATCTTTGGGCCAGCAGTTCAGTGACCAGCGGCAGGCATTCTTTCAGTTCATTCTTGTCACCAGCCGCAGCCAGCAAATCCTTCTCTTTTATGGGAATCTTCTGAGCGGTATGATCAAGGATGTAGTTTAGAATGGCGCGAACCGTCGCGGCGACCTCTCGAACGGGTTGGCTTCTAGTTGCGCGAGAAGTGCTGGCCATTTCTGCTTAATCTGATAAACGCGCTCCAACTTCTTAAGTTGATTTTATTATTCAAAATGCCACTAACAAGGAATGCAGCCAACATATGTTTCGGCCTTTTTAAAAGTGTACGAAATTGGCGTTGCCAGATCAGATTTCCAGAACGAGATATCGAAACGACGTACTTGTTTTCAGTATTAAAATACCAAATAGGCGCGTAAATTAAACTTATTCAAAATCATTACACCGACAGTAAAATCTGTAAGCCCTAATTGTTGTCTCTTTTCAATCCTCTCCTCTCGTATCCTTTTCCACTTGATTACCCGTTAAATGCACTTTCAAGTGCAAATGGCCACTCATTGGACTCGTTTAAACGCACAAACTGGGCCAAGAGCGGCTGAAGTAGCTACTTTTGAGGGCTTTATTGATTGATTTCCTTTTGCTGGCATCCTATTCTTCTATTACATTTTGCTATCAGTATGAGTTTTGCGCTGCAGCAAATCGTTTGCTAAATAAATATTCGGTTTATCGAGCAGCTAAACAGTGGAAACGCACTTTACGTAAAAATTACTATGCAGACTCAAGAGGTGATGTGCTTTTAATTAAAATGGCCAAACGACGCGACGTGCAGCAGCAGGAAGCAAACAACTTTCAAAACTAAACGCGAATGACATGCACGGTCAACATTCCCCACGGAGACTCAAAATAAACAGAGACCGAGTCAAACAAAGCGAAATGGAAATGCATTTGGCGCAGACACACGCGCCGGAGTGCACTTCCAGACGCTGGAGAATTACATGGCCAAACATATTTTATTGCCTTGAAATGTGTGTTTTAGGTGGCGGTGGCCGGTGCCTGCGGTGAAAACTAGTTGCCTGCGTCTGCTCAAAGTGCGCGATCCATGAGTGATAAATGTACAGGCGGAAGGCGGACAAAAGTTGGCTAGCATTAATTGATTCGCCATTGTTCCGGCTTCAACAAAGGCGGATATTTGAGTCTAGATTATTAAGGCAGTCTTTGTGCTCGCCTGAAATGGATATCCGCCGGGTTCTGCAATCTATTCTACTTGACCAGTAGCTATAATAAAGTAGCCCCGAAATTTGCATGCCAGCTAGTGAAATGACTCAAGATAAGAAACCTCGCAGAAAACGCGACTGATTGAGTCAACAAAACGCACTGTCAACGCGAAGACTTAGACTTTCTACACACAGGCAAACAGTTTTGCTTTCAAAATGCGCATTGTAACGTTGGAGTTTGTCAACTCCAGCCCTAACTTTTTTATGGCCGGATAATTGTAGACAGACGGAGTCGGAGAAATGTCTCATTTAGTGAAAAGAAAGTCAAGGTCTTTGCTGAGCGACGTGAGCGGCGAACTTGCTTTGCAGCCTGGCTTTTAGAGGCCATAAAAAATTAGCAAATGACATGAGCATGCCATTTAGAATTTTCGTGATAAACAAAATCCCATGACCAGCCAATAGAGTAACGACAACGGGTTTCGCTGCTCACCGCGGTGGCAAAAACTATTAATATATTAATAACAGAATCACAAGAGGCAGTCAACAAAAAAATGTGTGCACAAAAAAGAAAGCCAATACTGGAATGAGGAATGTGTAGAGTTTAATGCTCTATATGATCGGTATTAATCGTTTTTAAATGACTCGCTTTTTGAGATTTATCAAAGAATGAAAATACTATGAATGAACATAAATTGTGATATTAAAAAAAGTAAATAACAATCAATAGTATTACATTTAAAGTGTAGGTAGTGTAATTATTACTATAGCATTATAACTTGATATTCACAAAGTTGTAGGGGTTCTTCTAAGAACACAACACTGAAAAATTGCTGTAAAATCAATGTCTTAACTTGTAGGCTTAAGACTCCTACTTGCCATTTTCCTTGTTCATCTGGCTAAAAATAATGTAATTTATTCTTCAGCGATTTGAATGATTTATTTCCCTACACTTTTGTTCTTACAACCTCTTTCAGTGAGCTGATAACCCCGTTTCGGTCGCAATGGAATGGAATTGAGAATATAGCAACAATAGCCGGCTGTTGTTGCCTCATTCTGGTTGCGTGCCGTTCTTAAAAGTGGACTGCCTTCAGCGGAGCGGTCTGGCATTCTTCCTCAGCAGCTGCCGCTCGTGGTCGATCTGGCTGATCAGCTTTGGCTCGAGACCGGCACTTCGATTAGATATGATTTGCGTCTCTCTTAGAACGACCAGCTAACCGCTAAATGTCAATGGGGCTCACAATTAATAACCTGGCCTTAGCAAAGTGTAGCTGTGAGCGAATAAAGTTCAGTTCTAAAACAAAAGACTCGCACAACAAACTTGCTCGGCTGATGTCGCCGGCTGCTTAATTAAGAGGCCAAATTGGTACACCCAGTCCATGGCCCAAAATTAAGCTGCTTTCGACCTTTTACACTTAATAAATTTCGATGCAAACTAGACGCCGGTCCCTGATAATCAAATTAAACGCTTATCAGTTAGTGTGCCAAATGGCTGCCACAATCGTCGTAATTAAAGTCAGACAAATGATCAGTGAATCGACTTCACTTGGGGGCCAAGTTCACTCGTGCATGCCTAATCGCGTATACGCACCGTGTGACGACATCGAACTGCGGGGGTATAGTACATGGTTTCTATTCGTATAGAAATAACTGTCTAGGTCTAAGCGGATCTACATTTTACGCGTATTCGTAGTGGGAAAATACGGGATTTTATTGCTCAATGACTGTGGATGTCGTGCAAGTAAAACTAATGTTCAAAGCATGGGCGAAATATAAATTCGTGTATTTAAATTACTAATATGCATTTGGTTTCATTTGAATAAAATATTCGCTGATCAAATTTTTCAAGGCCATTGTATTTTTTTGTGTATTGTATTTTTATGTCTTTGCATATTTCTTGGTCTTCAACTTGATCTTTTGCTGCGTTTGGTTTTCGCCTTCGTTTGTTTTTATTGCTCTCGAGATTCACAATCTCTTTCGGTCGGCCATTCTAAAGTGCTTATTAATTTATAGCCCGTGATTCGATGACTTTGAAGTGGGCCAGCATATAAGCTACATATGAAGCCCACATCCCCATAACGTTTATAAAACATTTAATAATTATTAATTATATCAAAATGGCCATGCCGTTTTGTAAACAATTAAGCGTTAAGTTCAGCGTCTGAGGCCGCACAAGTTGGTCAAAATTAATGGTGTTTCGGCCGACGCTTGAAAATGCCCATCTAATGAGTCATTTCAGGTACTCAAAATGATTGGGTAATTCTACACGCCGAGCAAATGCTAAATAGTTCACTTAGCATCCGGTCCCGTCTTGAAATTAATAAAACGTCAATTAGGTTTTTCTCGAACACGCGTTTTTGGTGACGTTTTCAACTTGCGAAGGTCGAGCAGCAGCTTTTTGCAACCATATCACATAAGCCAAAATGTGAATCACATTTTCGGATTTTGTATGCAGTCGACGACTTTGTCGCAAAGGCCTTGAGCTCCGCACAATTTGCATGAGAGAGTGCCAGAAACAACAATATCCAATAAATTGTTGCATAAATCGTGGCCAGCTTCCTGTGTGAAAAACTTTCACAAGCCATTTGCCGAAAGGCAGAAATTTTTAATAATTATTATTGAGCTTGGTGTCATGTTATACATGCATCAATTTAATGGCTTTTGCTACGCCGAAAACTGCGATTGTCCAAGTCGAACCATCGTGAGAAGATCTGCACTCTGAAGTCATGGTCATGGTCATATGGGGCTGATTGACAAGCCAGTGTGTCAACGACTGGATTTATGTTAATTTATTTTTTAATGCTGACTCTTAAACGTTTGAAGTTCTCTCGTAAAAATAAAGCTATAGGCTCCTGTGAGAAATTCACTATTTTAAACTTTTGAGGCAGTTTAACTAATGCATTAAATATTATTTTTACATTAGGTAATATGAAGAAGAAATTATGTTTATACCCGTTACTCACAGAGTAAGAAGGTATACTAGATTCGTTGAAAATTATGTAACAGGAAAGAAGCGTTTCCGACCATAGAAAGCATATAGTACATTCTTGATCAATATCAATCACCGAGTCCGTTCGTCCGTCCTGTAAAAACTAGAAATTTAAGACTAAGCATGCAGATTCCACAGAATCGCACTCATGTTGCCACGCCCACTCTAACGTCCATTATTATTTATTATTGTTTTTCCAACTTTAGTGTTGTCTTTTGTTTTATGCCATATCATATAATTCGATTTTATTTATTTAAAAGAGTCAACACTGTAACTATTCAAAATTAGTAGTCAGCCCTTAAACCAAAACTGCCATAGAATTCTATAAGTCCATGAAAAAAATGCTTTTTATAATGAAATGAAAATGCGACAGTTAAGCTACTTATTTTATCCCTAATTTCAATTTATGTTTTTTAAACAAAACACGAATTTGTCCATAATACCTCTGTGGCAAGCCGAAGGTCAAGGAAATAAATTCAGTGTCGCAAAGAATTCCCAGGGCAACCTTTTGAGTCACGAGTCGAGTATTCAAAGAAATTCTGTTTAGTCAATTTAAATCCCGACCAAGAAGATTATGCAGCATACATATATGATGTCATGTCTTCGAAACGAAGTTTCGGTTATTTTTGAGCTTGATCATGGGTTGGTTTTCGGGCTGTTTATCAGCATCTGGGTATCGTTTCGGCAGGCGCTGCGGCCTTTTTGAACGCATTTCATTAGTGGCCATATACATATACATCTACATATGTACATGGGCTTATGTGCAGGCTTTGGGCACATAATGTGGGTATAGTTGTCTGAGCGGTGTCTCCATTCACAACCGGTGTGGCTGTCTTCGCACCGGCTCGCCTTTTGTTTGTTTTGTGTATACTCGTATAAAACATATGAAACATATAGTCCCATATGTATCTCTCCTGTGGCCTCAACGAGTCTGCATTTAAATGCAGTTTGTGTATATATTATACGCTGCATGTGCCTGTGGATTTGCTTTACTTTTACTTTCATGTGCAACTGGTTGCTGGTTGCTGGCTGCCAAAATGGGGAAGTACTGTGCGAGTGTGGGCTTCGTTTCTCTCAGTGTGCGCCTTGTTTTTGTCGCAGTCACCGGTTGCAATGAAAACAGTTTGTAAAGTGATTGTCAATCATTTTTGGTGGCATGTC